AATAACGACCTCAATGGATAAATTTAATTCCTTAATCTGAAGTTCTAAATTTTGTTTATCCGTTTCCAATCTAGCGATCTTACTTTCAAAATCATTTTTGGTATACTCTAGGGAAGCAATCTTAAGACGTGTCTCCGATAAATCTTTGACAAGTTTAGGAGAGGTGCTGCTAATCGAATTTAAGGATCCTTGGGAAAATATGGAATCTTGAAATTTCGTGAAAATTATTATACTCATTAATTAATTAATATTCATGTGAAAGAATATGCTGACGTTGAAAGCGTACCTTTTAAACCCCTAAGATCTGGAATGAAGTTAAAAGACTTCCTTGAAGGAGTTATTGGGCTCGCACGCCGTTCCGAAAGATCCACTTCTACTCGACTTCTCTAAAAGGAAAAAAGTTAAAATAAGACACCAGTAATAATCTTTCGCTGGGAACCCATTGTAAACTGTTAGCGAGATGTCTAAATCGAAAGTTAACCTTGAAAGGACGATCACTGGTTTCGGACTGAGAAAATTGACTAAATTGACTATCCCCGAGCACGCTTGAAGCAGACGAGGTGGATCTTAGAAAAGGATTGCCTTCAGTATTTCTGTCATACCGTTGAGGTTGTTTTTCGGCTGATCGCTTGTAAGGAGGATAAGATGACATCTTGAGATTATAAGTTAAGAGCGAAAATTGTCAACAAACGACATTGAAAAATTCCGTATTTTAACACGTGCTAATTTATTAATCCATGTTTTTAATAAATAGCAAAAAAATATTTTTAAATATTATATACAGTAATTTAAATTGGATTTTTTTTAGTATAATAAATCATATCTTTACACCAACTAAATTCTTGTAGTGCTTTTCTTCAGATCTATACGTTGGCATTTGAACTTTAATCAAAATGAGCAGAAAAAGGGCCGAGTCGTTGAAGGGCTTGCCTCTTCCAACCTCCAATCGCCCTCAAAGCGATAAAGAAATGGCTTCAATGCATAACTATAGGGAAAGGTTCGTTTGAATTCTAACAAAAAGTTGTATTTCTTGTCTTGGAACAATATTTTAATACCGTTTCTTCAATCATCAGCGGTATTCTCCTTCTCTCTTTAACTCAATCTCGGCAAGCCTGGACGAGTTCAATTTTGAAAAAGTTTTCCAGCAAGCAAGACGTTGTTTATCATCCCGTTCTGCCGGAACATACAAATCCAAATGCGAGTGTTTCCCTTCTTGGAAAATGTCATATTACCATAGGACCGCACACCTTCTATGACACTAAGATTTATGAAGCTGTCTATGAGGCTAGAAATCCAGACGTACAGTGTGGGAACTTGCAAATTCAGCCAAACTCACTGACTGGATCGCAATTCCAAACGTTACCTCAAACCGCGTCACAACCCGATGCGCAGATGCTGCCACAATCATTAGCGCAACCTGTTGCCTTGCAAACTTCAACTCAAACACAACAAAGCTCAACGCAAAAAACAAATTCATATTCAACATCTTCACGGCCAATACAACCAGCGATACAACCACGACCAGCAAATCAAGCACAATCACAAGTGCCGATTCAACCACGGGGAACCGCCAAGATATCTGCTCGATCAACACCCTCGAATTCACCTACACTTTCCGCTGTTCCAGCTTCATCCATGAATACTCAGAACATAAGTTCGAATGTTTCATCTTACGTGAATTCCAACTTAAATTCTTCGTCTGCGAGTGGAAACACTCAAAGCATGAACGTTTCAAGAGTTGTACCATCATCTGCTCTACCGGCTAATTCTCAACTTACCGCATTATTCCAGACTATCACACCATCTCAAATATTGGTCATCCAAGAACAATTACGACAGCCACAGGCAGCAATTAATATGACCCCAGAACAAAAAACTGCCTTGATAAATCAACTCACCACGATTCATCAGTTATTGACATCACCTCAACAACCTCAACAGACGCAGCAACAGCTGCAGCAGATTCATTCGAGGCCACAACCTCTAGCGACGAGATCCAAGCAAATAGTTAGATATGAGCTCCTTTTGGAATTCAGGGAAACTAAAAGCGATAAATGGTTGTTTCCAAAGGAGGCGGTCTTAGAGGCTATGTCAATGTCAGAACCTTACGACGTATGATTTCTCGGAAAATTTATAATAATAATAAACGTTTCGTTAGGATTCAAACTTATTTCCATTGTTGAAATTACTTTTAGGTTCTGGCGTCATTTTATCTACCACAAAATGAAGAAATGCATGTCTCT